AAAACTTAAGGGGGAGAAAGCAGAGATGGAAACAAGCCATGACAGACTAGACCCCAAGAAACAAACTGAGGGTTTCAGAGGGGAGGGGGCCAGGGGAGGGGGTAACAGGGTGATGGGTATTAAGGAGGGCATGTGTTGTCATGAGCCCTGTGTGTTACATGTAACTAATGAATCATTGAACACTACATCAAAAACTAATGATGTACTATACAGTGGCTAATTGAACATAATAAAAAAAAACAAAACCCAAATCTCCTTAGGGGTTGCATCCCACTGATAGATCCCTGAGACATGAAGAGGTGTGACCTTTCTCGAGGTAACTCATGGCTGCCTTAATGTTGATGTTTTGCTGGAGACTAAAAGTAACCATATCTTAACAGCAGCTAGACCCTCAGCATCCTGAAAGCCTTGCTTCAAAATTCCTTCAAAACTTACTTTATCTCTACCCCACCTCCCTCCATAAACTTAAAAGTATATAATCAGTCACTCCTCACAATCCCAGTGCAGCTCTTTCTGCCCATGGACCCTGTCCCTGTGCTATAATAAAATCACATTTTTGCATCAAAAAATCTTAAGAATTCTTTCTTAGCCATTTGCTCATGAACCCAAAACTTCAAATCACATCATTTATATCAGTCTCATCTGTTGTTGAATTGCTCCTGTGAATGTTTCAGGTCAGTTGTGTTCTTCTGCTCCATGATATCTGTTTGGTTCTTTTTATGGTTTTTATCTCTTTGTTGTAATTTTTGCTTGTCCATGTATTGTTTTCTGGACTTTAGTGAGCATCTTTATGGGATTGTTTTTAATTCTCTGTCAGGGAAATCATATAATTCTGCTTGATTAAAATTGGTTTCTGGAAATTTATCATGTTACTTTGTTTGGTATGTCTTTGCCTGGCTCTTCATTTTCCTTGACCCCCTGTGTAGGCATCTGTTCATTAGACAAAGCAGACACCTTTCCAGGTTTTCACAGACTGGACTCATATAGGAAAAAAACCCCACCAATCAGGCCATCTGGAGATTTTTTGTCCACTTGCTTTGTGCTGAATGGGGGTGGGGAGTAGCTATGGTATCCATTAACCTAAAACACCATCTCCATTCTCCCTTCGGTGGTTAGACTACACAGACTCAGAGCATGAAGACTGTTGAGATAGATGTTAGTTCTTTGGACATCCTCAGAGAAGTTGGGGTGTTGCATGCATGGATCAACTATTTCCCTCCCCAGGGAGAAGCTGAAAACTGGGATTTTTTTGTCTTGTTACTCTGTGCTGAGCAGGGGAAGGATCACTGATATCTTCCAGCACCGTCTACAGACTCTCCATACTTCCCTGGGTGGCTAGGCCAGTCAGAGCTCCAGAGTGGCAAGGCAGAAGCCAGTTCTGCAGGAAGCTGGGGGCTGTAGATGCAGGAACCAACCCCTACCTCCCCTGGGTGAAGCTGGGTGCTAGGGACTCTCTTCCTGATCTTACGGTGCTGCATGAGAGGCAGAGTCCCCAGTGAGAAGATTCCTAAATCTCCCTTCTGGCTTTGATGGGTCTCTCTTCATGTTCTCATGGGATATAGAAGCCTTTCATTGGTTTTGATTTCTTTCACAAGGGGAATTTGTGGGCTATTGCTGAGTTAGGGTGTTAGTGGGAAGAAGGGTGCGGGGCTTGCTACTGTACCATCTTGCTCAGATCCCAAAATTCCGCTGTGTTTTCAACGCCTCCTCGCAGAGCTTTGTCATACAGTAACTTGTCAGTAAGAACCTGCTGACTGTGTGAAAGATCAGTGAACAACAAAGAGCAGGAAGACAATAGAAAAAGATCAGATGTATTTCAGATACTTTCTTAGTCACTTCCGGTTAAAGTTTTCCGTAATATTCTGGCAATGAGGTATTGGCGATATCGATCTAAATTACATTAAACTGTTTATTAGAACTGTACTCAATTTGTGTGTAGGGTGGGGATATTGTAAACCACTGATTATACAGAGTATGGGTGCCACTTTTTCTAAGAGGTCTTCCCTGACCTGCTAAATTTGAGCTGGGGGTTCTCCTCATGTCTTCGATAACACCCTGATGTCCTTCCTAACTGCGGTCGTCACAGCACAGTGTAATCTCTTCCTTCTGTGACAGTATCTCTCAGTAATGTAAGCACCTTTAGGGAAGGAAATGGCTCTGGCTCACTTTTGATTTCTCTGTGTCCAGCACAACTGTCAGCAAAAGAAAGGGTCAACTGAATATGGACAGCTTTGAGATAGTGTGTCCCAGTCAGACTTCACCTACATGTAAACAGACACAATTCATTTCATGGTCCAAGGTGGATACAATGCTGATTCTTGCTAACAATTGTTTCCTGTGTCTGGAAAGAGATGCTCAGAAAGCAGCCCTTTGAATATTACTGCCTATGTTGTGCCAAAAATATTGGATTTTTGATCTTCCCCTCTGTAAGGCAAGGACATGTCAGGTGCACGTTCTAGTCTCAGCTCCTAGCATAACACATGACATTAAGCTTAGTGTTGCCAGATACAGGGTTCCCAGTAAATTTGAATTTCATATGAAACATGTAATTTTTACTATAACTATGTCCCATACAATATTTGGGATATATTTACACTAAAAACGTAGTCATCGTGTATCTGAAATTCAAATGTAACTAGAAGTTTTGTATTTTTATTTGCTAAATATGGCAAACCTCACTGAACAGAATCACTTCTAATTTGCATGAATAAATTAATGAGTGTTGTTTTGGGGACACCTGTTCTCTGCCATATGTGTTCAACTCCAGCTCCGCTCCTCAGCTCACTCCACCCCAGGAGAAGTGAAAGGATTTATTTGGTAAATTTGAGGGAGTAATAAATGAAAAATGCTTAAGTCAGCTCTATGCTTTTCACCTTGGAGGCAAGCCCGCCTGTAGAGAGGTCTACTCTATGTGCAGGCACAAACCTTCTCTGACACTGGAAGGAATCTCGAATTTCGAGAGCAAATTCTCAGGGACACAAAAATTGGAGCATAGGCTTAAATATAACAGAAATAAAAACAAAGGAGCAGGGTATTGATGAGGTGGGCTTTCAGCGCTTGGATGAGGTCAGAGCAGGGCATTTGCACAGGCAAGAGGCTCCTCCTGGATCACCTTTCTAACCTGACTGAGCTCGCAGCCATGAGCCTATGGTTTTGTGACCTTGCTGGGTGACATCGGCTTGTGGTGCCTTCTTAAATAGACTGGTGGATGTTTCCACAGGGCAGGACTAACCTCATGGATAGCAACCAGGAAAGGGTTCCATAGCCTCGTCAGGGGCCTCAAGAGAGCTGGGGTTTAAGTGAGGGCAGTGGGCACAGGGATGACCATGAGGGCTGCCCAGCAACGGAGACTTGGGGGCTGCAAGAGCAGCTCCACAAAGGCCCACGGGCACCCGAGGAGATTTCCGAAGCAGTCACAGCTTGAGCTGTGCAGCATCCTTTAGAGCAAGTAGAACCCTCTGAAGCTTTGAAGGCACTGGAGCTGTTCCACTCACTGGTGGCTGGAACAGGTTTTTGCTCTAAGTTTCCTTGCATGCTACAATGCACCAGTAACCATCTAGCTCCCATTTGCTCGTGCCAGGCCTAGAAAGGCTCCTCTCTCAGCCACCCCAAACTCCACCCTGCATTAAGGCCCACGATGCACACTGGAGGATCACGCCTGAATCCCTGTGGTGTTCCCTAGGCTCATGAGTAAAAGCATTTAGAGAATTAATGGGTAAGGTTCAAGGTTATGTGGTTATTATAAATGGGCACGCTGGGCTTGCCTGTGCTTCTGAGAAAGTGACTGACAAATTTATGAAATTAAAAGTGGGGGGAAGGTCAGGTTCCTGGGGTGCACATGTGGGAAGGGTCGAGTCTCACTGGACTGACTGGTTGAGGTGTAAGTTTCAGATCACACAGAGCTGTTTCGTTTCCAGAATCTGCTGAGATACATCTTCCGCCTGGAACAAGGGTGGGGACCCGGTGAACCAGGCAGGCTTGTCAGGCCAGAGCTATCCCTCAAAGAGCAGTCTGTCTACTTGCTGGAGACTACAGATGCTGTGTCACTCAGACCCCACTCCGTCCAGAACCGCAGTGTCACACGCACCTCGGAGGGGAAGTGAAAGCTAAGAGAAGGTACAAAATAGGTGGTTTCCACCCACCCCCAAGATAGTAAATGTTTGGCACCAACATTAACCTTTTGCTGGAAGGGTGTCTCAACTGAGTTTATGTTAATTGCCACCAACTGACTGGCATCCTACTGACGCCAAACAGAGAATTTATCTCCCCTCCTTTCGTCATGTGTGACTGGGTCTCTGTTAGGGTCTTTGGAGACCTTAAACACGGGTTCTGGGGTGTGAGTCTGCTTGGTGCACGTGCTCCGGGCTGGGGGGCTGGCCTCTTAAAATCCAGTGGGTGTGGGGCCGGGGCCCTCTGCTGGGGTCATCTCTGAATCCTATTAGTTCTTTGAAATCATTAAAACCGTGTGTGGCTCATGAGAGTCTTGGCGCTGCATTAACACAACTTCTACAGTCCTGGAAGGAAGTATTCAGTTCTCCGGGAACAGTCCTGCTCCAACGGCCTCAGCTCCACCCAGACACTGAGAACCTCTTCTTAGCTGAGGTCGAGCAGCAACAGAAATCGGGGTAAGGGGTGACTTTCATTTCTTTAGATTTTTGACTCAGAAAAGAGAATGTGATATCAGGGTTTGGTTTATTTTGATTTTGATGTGTCTGGAATTCTTCTGACAAGGGGATCTAATCTTTGAACCTGACTTTCTTCCTAGGGATATTAACAAGGGAAGGAGTTTTAGAGCACAATTTATGGCATCTGGATGTTTTAATTTTACTATTAGAGGATCCTAGGGTACTCTTAAATCTCACTGTAGAACCTCTGAACAGCTTACTGGACTGAATTTGGGATGGAAAATGTAATTAGAAGCAAATTGTCACCCTGGGATGCCAAATGACATTGGTGTTATTTAATTAACATTTTCCCCCCTGTGTCTTGGGGAAAATTGCCCAGCATTGCCCAGCAGTGGTGCCAGGAGGATACACACAGGAGCAGAGCTGGTTCTGGTGAAGAATTTGTGAGCGTAGCCATCAACTTTCAGGAACATCCCATAGCTGCTGTCGGAGACACAAAGAGAAATGAGATAGGATCCCTAAAAACCTGCAAAGCATTACACCAGTTCTTAGAGAAAAGGGCAACAAATGTGATAAAAATTGTGCTTGCTTCATAAAATGACTCACAAACTACATTACCTTTTTCAAATATTTGCAGGCGTTTGTGTCAATTGGCATTATGTCTTTCAAAATACTTGCTAGAATTGCCAGCAACGCACTCTGGGCCTGGAATTTTCTTTGTTGAAAGTTTTAAACCAATTAATTAATTAGTTAATTACAGCACTGGTCATGTGTTCTTTCTCTCCTGGTGTCTTTTTCAGTTTATTTTTCAATATTTCTTCCTGGAAAAAAGTATTAATTTTTCTGGGAACTGTCCATTTCGTCTAATTTTCTTTTTCACTAAAATGATGTATTATCTTATTTTAATTTTTAATAGGTTCAGAATATATAATCATGGTGTGTTCTTCATTGCAGATATTGGTTATCGGTGCCTTCTCTCTTCTTTTGTCCTGATCAGCCAACCATGTGTGGGACCTGTCTCTCATTACTTCTTCGGATGGTGACTCATGGTGTCGTTTCCTTGTGAGCCTGTCTTTGTATGCTTACTGCATTTGGAAATTAATTTATAGAATTAATTTGAAGCCTAAGTTGATTTAATATTTTCCCAAGCATATTTAGTTGCTAAAAATCTATTTTGGAAAAGTCAGTGTTCTGGAGGCACTAGCAGTACAAGATCATCTTTTTAAAAAATATTTTATGTATTTATTAGAAAGAAAGAGAGAGAGAGACAGAGCATGAGTGGGGGTTACAGGGGCAGAGGGAGAAGCAGACTTCCTTCTGAGCAGGGAGCCTGACACAGACCTAGGTCCCAAGACCCCAGGATCACCACCTGAGCTGAAGGCAAATGCTTAACCCATTGAGCCACCCAGGTGCCCCAGTACAAGATCATCTTAACCCACATCCAAGCATGGTGGCCTTCCAGCCACCAAATGAACTGAAGCCAGGCACCCATTTGTAGGAGGGGTAGCTTACTTCCAATTCACCATTTACTCGGGCAGTGGGGCCCTTTGAGGTCCCAACCCAAAAGGGAGGGTGGTTCCCAGAGGCTCACAGACACTAGATTTTGATTTTTGTTGCCAGCCTTACAAGGCTACCTCAATTTCAACTCAGTCCCTTACCAGCATTTCCCCATAGGCTTTCCACCCCCTCCCCATATTGCCACAGGGCATAACGGCCTCCAAAGCTTTTTGCATTCTGATCTTTATCCCAGATCCCTATAGCTAGCTGAAAGGACTTTTTTGGAATTGTACCTCTGAAAGGTAACACCACTGAGATGAAGCATCTTTAATCTGGAGACCCAATTCTTATTCACCTTCTGGTAAATGGAGCCACCAAACTCTGCCCCACTTTCACTTCTCCGGGAAGCTGGACTTGGTAAGTCTTGAAGCCAAGCAAAGTTTCTCTGGGTTACTCAGGACTTTGTGGTTTCAAAATTCATTTGTTAGCCAGCCAACCAGCCCTGCTAACTCAGCACCAAGCACCCTGGAGCCCAGAGATGTCAAGATTCTCAGCACAGCCCAGGCTGATGTGCTCCTGCTGGTACTCTGTCTTGAGTTGAGCTGTCCGCACCTCCCCAGTGTGAGCCAAGAAGCATGAATCAAAAATCATCTTCCGTGCACACGCAAACTCATCTTCCCCGACAGCCTCCGTGCAGACTGCTGTGGTGTTCCACTTCTCCCCAAACGTCCGAATGTGCACTTGATCCCCAGTACCTGCTTCCAAACTGCCCTCCTCTGCAGCGGTCTCAGTGTTGGCTGAGCCTGGGCTGGTACGTTTCAGTCCATTCTAAGATTCTGTTTCCAAATAAAATTGTATGAATAGCCCTTTTACTTATAGTCCTTGGTGAAGACATCTGGCAGCTTTGCCCAGTCCAGTGCGCACAGGGACATGGCCATCCTTTCTGTGGTGGCCGTGGCCCGGGGACAGGCTGCCCTGAAAGTCACACACTCTGCTTCTGTTTCCTGGGGCTCATGACTAACTACTAAGATGACTAACAACACTCATTCATATTTTTGGAAACAACCCCTTCCCACCCTTCCATCATGCTATCAGAGTCTAGAGTTTAAGTAATAGAATTTTAAAATTTTATTTTTTTTCCTATTATTTAGCAGTTGCTTATTTAAGCAACAAAATTTCAGCCACATCTGCCATCTTCCAGTAATTCGCCAAAATGACCAACACAAAGGGAAAGAGGAGAGGCACCTGCTATAGCCTCTCTAAGCCTCTCAGAAAATGTGGAGTCGTTCCTTTGGCCACATAAGTGCAAATCCACAAGAAGGGTAACACTGTGGCAGATCTGGAAGAGTCTGTGTGTCACCCAGCATGCTGTGCGCATCATTGTAAACACACAAGTTAAGGGCAAGATTCCTGCCAAGAGAATTAATGTGCCCAGTGAGTGTATTAAGCACTCAAAATGCCGAGCTAGCTTCCTGAAGCATGTGAAGGAAAACGATCAGAAAGAGAAGGAAGCCGAAGAGAAAGGTACTCGGGTACTCGGTTCCACTCGAGTTAATCTGTCCCACCCAGAGACGCACCCTGTGAGAACCATGGAAAGGAGCCTGAGCAGCGGGAACCCATTCCCTATGGATTCATGGCCTGATAACTGTAAAACAAAAAACAAAAAACAAAAAAAACCCAAAACCTCAAGACTATAAAACCGTTTCTCTTCGTTGAGTAGAAGTGTGGTATCCCCTCCCCCAAAGAAATATTTAAAGCAAACTTTGGTTGTGTCCTAATTTATTGGGTGATGTCTTCATTCAAATTTAGTGTTTTTTTTTTTTTTCTTGCTGAAAGATGTGGTTTATTGTGCAACAGAATATATTCAACTGGTTAGGGAACTGCCAGATATTACTTATAAAATATTTATAGTAGTTTGAAAATAGTCCCTCTCAATCACCAAGAGAAAAGAATTTTAAAAATAAACAACAGGTTATTTGCTCTAAGTCAGGCTCAGAGAAAGCTGAGTACTCATAATTGTGTCCTGTCTTAAACAGCTGTGTTTTAAGCATAAGGACCTTGCCTTTGAAGCCTGATACTTAAAAATAGATCGTTTACAGCACCCTGGTTCCTACTAAATTGTTTTCCCTGCCATTTCCTGTTACTGTTTTCATACATGGCCCTCTAGCGACTGGGAAACATGTTTTATTGGAACTGCTCTTTCTGGCCCTGGTTCATTTGTACTTGCTTTTGCTTGAAATACCTGTGCTTTCTTTGTTCAGTTGGTGAATCCCTGCCTGTCCTTTGTCCAACCTGAGTGTCACAGGTGAACCTTCCCTGACCCAAGTATTTTTAGGAGAAATGAAAGTGCTTAGAATCAGAGGAGAGAGCTTACTCCTGGTGTGGGATGCAGAATAAAATCCCTTCTATCTCGTCCCCTGTCGTGGGGACACGACAGGCATGTTTGTTTTTCTTGTGGGTTTTATAATCTTTAAAAAGTTCTGTCTTCCCCATTAGACCTGAGGTTAGAGACTGTGTTTTAGTAAACTTCACACTCCTAGGGACTGGCACACAGTGAGCATTTAATAAATGCACTTTGAATTAATAAAAAGTAAATAAACAGCAAAATTTTACTATTTAATTACTCAAACTTACTTTTCGTATCTTCTGGCATACCTCTGAATGTATTTCTCGGCTCAATGGAGCACTTCCTCTAAGAATGTCTTGACAGGTGTGTGTGTTTGTGTGTGTCTGTGGGGTATGTGTACATGTGGTGTGTATAGTGTGTGGGGTGTTTGTGCGATGTGTGGTGTGTATGGTGTTTGTGTGTGTGGGGTGTGTGTGTTTGTGTGTGTGTTTTGTATGTGTATAGCATGTAGGGTGTCTGTGGGGTGTGTGTATGTATGTGTGGTGTGTGTGTTTTGTGTGGTGTGTGCGTGTGTATGGTATGCACGTGTGGTGTGTGGTGTGTGCGTGTGTATAAAATACTGAGGCCTGTTATACCAGAGATGATCATATTCATCCTCAGAATTAAAGGAAAGGGCAGCTAGACATGAAATTAGAGGTTCCACTTTGAAAATACTATTTTCCATTGACTTCTCATGTTTATTGTTATTGTGAAGAAGTAGGAAGTCAATCTAATTGCTGTGACTTAAAATGTTTTACCCTCTTGAATATTTCGGAATTGTCCCTTGGTCTCTGACACTCATCTGCTGTGATGTTTGGCTCTCACGATCTATTCAGCTCAGCAAATTGTGACACTTTTAATGTGAAATCTTTCTTTTCTCTGCTCATGTAAGATCCTTGGTTATTTTCCCCCAGATTTTCTTCTCTTTTATCTGTGCCTGTAGCATGGACGTTACACACAGGGACACCTGTGCAACTAGCACCCAGACTGTTTCCCTTGACTTTCAGTTTCTCTACCCCATTTTGGTATTTCCAGGGGAGTTTTTCTGATCTTCTAGGTTACTCTCTTGTTCCTCAGTATTATTCTATGTGCAAATTCATCCACCTGCCAGTTACTTACTCTGATTTTATAATTTCCACGTTTATGGTCTTGACTTGGCTATTCTTGAACTGTGCACAGTTTGATGTGTTCAGGGGCCGTGGAGGGGAGGGCGCCCGCCATGTCGTTCCCTGCTCACCCACCCACGGTGCATGTCTCTGTGCTTCTGCCCTAGTCACTGTTCTGTCCCAAGACATCTCTGCCGCTCTCAGTGGTGGTCACAATCCTGGCACTGTGGGTGGAGCTGGGAGACAGGAGTTCTCCGGGGCCCAGCAACTCACCTGCACCTGCTGTTAAATCTGTGGCCCAAGATGGCTGGGCTCCCCTGGGGCCCAGACCGTGCTGGCGGGACAAGGGACCCATGGGGTCGGGCAGGGATCCCTTCGGAACAATGTTGGGGAGCAAAGGTCTCATCCAGAGAGCCCTCCACCCTCCAGTCTACTTTTTCCTCCCCAAGCAGCTTCTGCTTCCCTGCATCTGTGTGTCCCATATTTAGGATATTTCATGTAAGGTTTTGATAGGCACCAACCTTCCTCTTGTTCATGTATTTCCAAGGTAGAGATTAGGAGGAAGAACCTGAAGCCATCTTGTCCACAAATGGAAAGTTTTTAATGGGGGAAAAAAAAACCCAATACTAGTGAAACAAAGAGGTGTGTGAGCTAGAACCAGGCCAGAGAGCACCAGTGATGAGTACCTGATAGAAAGGGTCAAGAATCAGAGAGCTTCAGACAGCTGATTGGCATCTGTCCACTCCACAGATGCCACATGCCAGCAGTGGCCTGGGACCTGCACGGGGAGCAAGCCTCAACCTCGGGTGTCTGGGGCAGAATCTGTGTGTCTCCTGAACTGGCCAGAAGGACAGCATTTCTCAGAACCCACGAGATGGAGCAGCAGGGAAACTACCCAAGTGCTCACTGCCCAGAACAGCAGGTGCAGGGCCCAGGGACCCAGGGGCCCAGGGGCCCAGGGGCCCAGGGGCCTGTGCCCCAGCCTGAGCATGACTCTGCTGCTCCATGATGCCCAGGCCTCTGCCCCCCTCCACCCTCCTCTCCTCTCTGTCCTGCTCTGGCCTCCTGCTCTCCACATCTCCCCACAGGCTGCATCTTCCCCACTGTTCTGCATCTCATTCTTCTACTTTACATGCACAAAGGAGGAAAGGAGGGTTTAGTGCTGAAAAAAAAATCCCAATTACGTCATTTACAAACTTTCCCATACGATCAGAACAGAAATTTATGACTAAGAGGGACTATCATTTTCCCTGATAGAAATTGAGATGCACCACTTCTACACACTCTTGGAAACTAGGGTGTTCCCAAAGATCTCCAGATACTGGGGTGTTCCCAAAGATCTCTGGAGACTGGACTGGCTGTGGAGACCCAGACTGGCTGCTAGGCATTGGCCGGAGTCTTGAACTGCACGAAGGCCCCAGGGATGCTCCCATGCTGGGTCTCCCTCTTGCTTCCCTGTCTCATTCCTATTGTCCCGCTCCCCACATACCTGCAGCACTGAGCACCTAGTACAGCAGCATGAGGTCCTCCTCATTCAGCCTTTGGAGAAGAGACTCTCAGCAGCTGGCCCGAGGGGGTATTGCAAGAGTCCCAGGAGGCAGGAACTCGAAGCTGCTCTTCAGGATGTTTTGTATGAAGAGAAAGCAAAGAAGCAAGAACCTCCTCCAGGGCTTGATCTCTGTTTCCTCACATAGAAGGCAGGGGCGATGGAGACTGCTTTTTCTCCTTCACTTCTGTGTTGTGATAGTAGCACACAGTAAGCTGAGGGATGCTTCCCACAATCACTCAGGTTTCTTGGGAGAAATCCTGCCAAGTTATCGTCTGATTCTGAGTAGAGTATTAGGTCTTAATCTCTCTAAACTGTAATACTAACCAAATTATTGACTTAGAAGCAAGGATACTCATTGCAACACTGTTTATCATGGTGAGTAAATGTCAATATGATAATGGCCCCCAAATAAGTAATTTACAAAACAAGTTACTATTTACCCAAACATACCAAGCAACACTACAAAGGTCTTTGAACACAGAATGGCATGAAAACATCACAATTTTTAAAAAAATAAAAACAGGTTACAGTTACTATTCCTTTAAAATCACATATTTATGTACATGGGAGCACATCCATAGAAAATACTCTGGCTAACGGACATTGAAATAATAGTACAATTGTCTGAGTGATGGAAGTATGAGTGAGTTTAATAGTTGTCTCTTTCATTGTCTGTATTTCTAAATTTTCTACAATGAAGATACATTATCTTATATATTAAAATCCATAGGTTTTTGTGGCTTCTCTCAACTCCAGGTGGTAGCCCTCAAACGGCAGAATATTCGGGTCATGTGCATGCGTGTGAAGTGTGTGGACGAGAGGAACATTAAGTGTCAGCTCTTAGACTGTCCCCATCTACGGATGAGAGTGGCCACTGGCTACTTAGCCATCAGAACAGACCTTGGAAACAAGGAAGGATTCCTGATCACCTATAATTTCCCACCAGTTATGGCAAGCCAGAAATAGGTAGATAAGTAACTTGTAATGGATAAGGGTGATTTGAGATGGCTTCGGGGGAGGCTGAGCAGAGATACATCAGGTTACCTATGTCCCTGTACACAGTTTTGATATGTTCCCCTAGAAGTTTTAATGCCAAGGTTACTATTAATAATGAGAGTGTATATATCCCCCAGGGATGGTTGGGTGTAAAGAACAGCTAGGAGGGGTTTGTCACTGCTAAGGTGGTACCAGCATTAACTGTAGGGCTGAGATTACCTCACCCTATAACAATTAGATTGTTGGGGTTTGCTAACTCTCAGTCCCTGATGCTTGTAGGCCAGAAGTTAGGTGGTCTTGCTAAGGGTGTATAATTATTTCAATATAAAACTTTAAATAATAATTATAGCTATTTGTAATTATTTTTTTCTGATAAACTTCAAATTTGTTGTGTATAGTTTATAAAATAATCCAAATTATCTCTGTGTAGATTAATGACCAAACTCAAGCCCACAGTCACCTCTGTCCTTCCCATTGGTGACCTATCTTTAGCAGGGGAGTGGATTATACAAGATGTTAATCAAAGTGTTAAAAATTCTGATAGTTGCATTTGATAGTCATTTTGTTAGAGATTCTTATTACTCAACTTTTTGAACTTTTTTGTACTAAGTTTGAGGCTAAGTGATAATTATGCATATTTTATTTAAAGAATACTTATTTAGTGCTACTTATATGCCAGACATTGTTCTATGTGATTTATGAATATTTGACAAATGGTTTTCCCCATTTAAAGGTGAAGAAACTGAGGTGCATGGAGGTTAAGTAGTTTGTTCAAGACTACACAATTAGTGGGGGAAGGGGTTGGGACTCCACCCTAGGCAAGGGTTCCCAAAGGCTGTGATCTTACTCCTTGCATGATTGTGCCAATGGTTGTAAAACATTTAGCATTTCAAGAAGACATAAATACCTTTGTTACTTTTAAATCAATGTGGATTAATGTATAAACCAAGCGTTCAAGAATGGACAAATATGGCAAACTGGTTCAAGCTGCTCTTCCTTCCCACAAACTCAACCCTAAAGTTCTCACAAGAGCAAGAGGGGATTTATTTAAAACTTGAGATGTCTGTATGTGACAAAAGACAACAAAGTCCCAGTTTGGAAGACAAAGAGAAGCCCAGAAATGGATTCTGTTCACATCACCTCAGAGCAGATGTAGGTGAAACCTTGTCTCTCATGTTTATTATTCTTCCTCAACTCTTTGAACTTTGAAGCAAATGCCATATGATTTCACTCATATGTGGAATTTTTTTTAAAGATTTTATTTATTTATTTGACAGAGAGAGAGAGACAGCGAGAGAGGGACACAAGCAGGGGGAGTGGGAAAGGGAGAAGCAGGCTTCCCGCGGAGCAGGGAGCCTGATGCGGGGCTCGATCCCAGGACCCTGGGATCATGACCTGACCCGAAGGCAGTCGCTCAACCAACTGAGCCACCCAGGCACCCCTCATATGTGGAATTTAAGAAACAAAATAGATGGACATAGGGGAAGGGAAGGAAAAATAAAATAAGATAAAAACAGAGAGGGAGAAAACCATAAGAGATTCTTTAAGTCTAGGAAACAAACTGAGGGTTGCTGGAGGGGAGGGGGGTGGGGGATGGGGTAACTGGGTGATGGGTATTAAGGAGGGCACGTGATGCAATGAGCACTGGGTGTTATACACAACTGATGAATCACTAAACTCTCTGAAACTAATAATACACTATTGTTAACTGAATTGAATTTAAGTTAAAAATTTAAAAAAAGAGAAGATAACAAAGATAATCGCTGTGCACAGCCTCTGGGGTGCAGTAACAGTTCAATAAATATTGAATGAATGGAAGAAGACATTGGGAAAGAACATGATGAGAACCAAAATGATGACTCAGCTGGCCTGCTCAGCCCCTGGAGCACATTCTATCTGGGAGACATCGTGAGGGTTGGGCATTTTTATAAAGTTTTTTGCAGCCCTTAGTGCTGTTCCGTCCTTGTTGGTGTTCTGCCCCCTAGTTCCTCCGAGTGTTCTCCTTCACGTCAGAGTAGATGACATGGGAGTCCTAGGAGAGATGCACAGTTGAAGGAAGAGAAGGAACATGGCTGGTGGGGAGCAAGATGGGGAAGGAACTCTCCAGGGGTCCAGCTCACCTTGTTCTTCAGAATTGTCCTGGTGTTTGCTGTGGAGAAAAGAAATATTACTGAGCTCTTGGGTTTCCACTTAGACCTCATTCCCTAACAGTGCTCCAGGGCACAGGATGGCGATGCTTAATGTGTGGTTTCCAGCTTCTCTTGTTCTTCTGTAAAATCCATGACTTAATGTTGTCCACTCTGCAGTCCTTCTAAGACCACCCAAGCTCTAAGCCCTCTACCAACCCTTGTTGAACAAAACCTGTCCTCTCTTTGATGCAGTTTCCATGGATTATTGACAATATTCTGTCCAGGCTCATTCTCCTGTCACCCCTTTATGTCACTCATATAATGACCACAGGAAATTCATGCACGGCATAGAAGGAAACGGGACACAGAGATAAGGGAGGGGAGACCCTGAGTCACATGGCAGCTTGAGGGTGTGGTGGCTGCTTCCTTCTCCCTTCACTCCAGGTGGGCAGAGTGGAATTCAATCCCCCTCCTGCCCTTGGCAACACATCAACACCTGGAGGGCCTGGAGGATAAGCATGCGATGGACATGACTGTACCTTGTTGGTTTTGCTGGGCTGGTCCCAGGCAGGGAAGGAGAATGACAGGGTCATTGGTTCTCTGCAGGCTGCAGTGGTACAGCTCTAAGCAAGGCTGGCCGAGGACCCAGCTTCCGTGGCTCAGAGGAGCGCGGCTGGGTGA